ATTGTTTTTCTGTGATTTCATTCTCGTTAAATGTTAGTATTTATCTTTATTGCGATATTTCATACTGTATTATTTTATTATATATTATACCAGTATGGCCCTGACCTGATCTCGTCACTACTCGCTCGAGGTTAGGCTTGGCACTTACTGGATACTGTTGTGGTGTACTCATGCCCTTTCCTGCACATGTTTTTCGTGTGCAGATCCAGGTACCTCTTTCCAGCCAAATTTCCAGTGAGGTGAGACGACAGTAGAGACTTCGAGGTATATCTGCCGCGTTCGCAGACCTAGGAGTCCCTATCTACTTTTCCTTAAGATTAAAGACTTTTCTTGTATTTCTTCGTTGATAGTTTCTGGAGTTTAGGAGCATTATTTACTTCTGTAGCTTGTGACTTATGATATTCCGAGTTTTGGGAGCGTTTATGTTCAGTTCGAGAGTGATTATTGTATATGCCGAGCGGCATCGCATTTCCTTGTCTAAAATTTACGTCAGTTGTTAGTTTTCATGTTTTGCTCCTTATCTGCAAATGTTAAGTTTACCTAGTCGTAGAGACTAGGTGCCGTCACGACAAGTTCACGGAGGGAGAACTAGGGTCGTGACAAAGATAATGGGTTTCAGTCCCACCGCGCTATGAGGGTAAGACATCAGTTCAAGTCTTGTGTGCTATGATAATAAGAGTTGGGTTCGTGTCCCAATGCGTTATGGACTAACACACTTTTATTGGGTAAGGCATTAGGTTTGAGTCACAATGCACCAAAGTAATGTTATAATGACGAAAAGGCAAAATAATATGCTTTTAATGAAAAATCATGTAGCTTGTCCCACTTGATATGATCCATTTCGTAAAGCGAATGTGATAGCAGTGTAGAACATGTCTAAATGAAGAAAAGTGATTGACGAATGCTCATGAGCGTGACAAAGGCCAAAAATAATAATAGTAACAATTATGGTAATCATAACACAAGAGAACAATAATGTATCTCAATATATATCCTTCAAAAGGTAAAGACAATGTTTACTATCAAATTTGTATGAAAAATAAAAGAGCACGTCATGATTATTATACTCCATTCCTTGAAAAAAATGTGACTTGTGATATGCATCGAGAATGTAAACCCATTAATGAAAGTGAATGTGGCAATATATGATAAAAGTAATGAATGAAAACGTGCAATGCATGATTGGATGAATATCACACAACTCACCTCTAACGGAGGTCTGAGCGAAATAAAGAGAATGAATTTTATTATGTGGATGCATGAGTGTATCATTGGTTTCGTACCCATGGTACGTTAGAAAATATTTTGCAAATCGTTATAAAAAATATTAAAGGCAAAATTAAAGCAAGAAAAATGTCTTGCCTACAATAATTTTGACCATGATAATAATAATATGATTTTCTCTGTTGAGTAGATATTCACCATATGGATGGTATGAAGAAAGATATTATAGTATAAAACTATTTGAGAGCTCCGGAAGAGGAAATCTAATACTATTTTGGAAGAATGAAATTGATTTTGAATAAAGAATTATATTATAGCAAGTCCCAAATTTTTTTATTGAGTTTCAAAGATATTAGCCAAAGTGATTGGCATATTAAGAGTATAAACAATGGGAAGATTGCATATCCTCATATTGATATCGGTAAATATGAAAAGTTACTCGACTTTCCTCCTACTTTTTCTGCACAAGTATAAGCATGATGATAGAATCACATGCCATAGTAAACTAGGGGTTTACTGAAACAAATATCAATTGGCATGACCGGTTTGGCTATCCCGGTACAAATAAGATGCGGAAATGATTGACAATTCACATTGACATATATTTAAGTAATAGAAGATTCTTCAAGAATTCTTTTGTGCTGCTTGTTCTCATGATAAATTGGTAATTATACCAGCAGAGGTTGGAATTGTATTCCCTAGTTTTTGGAACGTATAAAAAGTGATATATACATATATGTACGGGCCCAGTCACCTGCCATTTACCATTGTATGATTTTAATTGATGCATTTATGGTCACATATTCATTTACTTGCAATTTGAGTTTTGCAAGTTTCCATGCTCACATATTAGAGCGCAGTTCCAAACTATAAAAGTATGATGATTTTGATAATGCTGGTTGGCTTAGTAGAAATTATTGCCTCCAACTATAGCTAAATCATTGGTTATGAGAACAAAACTCCCAAAAAGAAATTTGATTTAACATGTATTATTTCATATACATCAATACTTGTACACATCTAGCCAACAAGTTATGATAAATTCTCCCTATCACAATTAGTTTATGTTCAGGAACCAAATATTTTTCATATAGAAATAGATATGCTATATGATTTAATTGTTTCACCATAATTCACAAAGATGGGCCGCCAAAAAAGTTTGAATATATATGTTGGTGATCCCGACATTTGAGAGAAAAAATGGGCAGTTGAAAAAGTAATACATGGAATGAATTATTATGAGTACATCCAGATCCTCATATAAGAAAATATGAACTTGAGTTCAAGTGATAATTCATTTGCAAAATATTGCCAAACACATTTGCTGACCCAAAGCTAAATATCATATTTCAGCTGCTAATGCTCCAAATAGAATAAAATCCATGATGGACAGAGTCTATAGCACATGTAAAGTATAATAGACCAATTAGTTCCAAAGATAAAACTCCTTGAAGAAGGAGAGGAGAAAATGATCAAGATGGATAAGAAGGCAAGTGCTCTATAATAGCAGTAACATAACACTTTATAAGACCTCATGGGAGAGGCTTAGATACATGAAAATAATGAGATTCCGATAAGTTATGTCTTTATTGAGTGATGATGGAACCGATATAAAATGATCGTCAACAATATTGTTGATATAATGCAACGCTAAATATTATTAATATTTACGAGGATTTTGAGCTAAAATCTGTCATGAAATGTGGACAGATAAATAATTAGCCAAAATAATAAAATGCGCAATCAAGATTGACTTCACTTGAAATATTGGACGGATAATCCCAAACACCTAAAAGTATAAAGGCAGTGGAGGTACAAATATGTTCTTGTGCAAAAAATGAAATGAAAACATCAGGTCGATATACATAAAGATCACATGTGGCACAAGTTTTTCGCAAATATCCTGGCATTAGTTATATGGAGACATATTCTCCTGTGGTGGATGAAATCGTTTTCAGGTTTTAATCTGGCAATACATGAAAACTTGATATGCGTATAGCGAAAAACATTGAAGGATTTAAATTGTTCTGAAGCACATAAAGATTCACAAGAAAAAATATTAAATAAAGCTTCAGCAATTCTTATATGATTTATTTTGTATCTTAGTGCAATTGGCGCGCACTTATGCTTCTTGCTAGAACCATGAATATAATATTATGCTAGTAAGATTTAAATTTATTTCTTCACGAAGATACTGAAATACGATTAGTATTATATTGAAAAAGAAAAACATAGATAAAGATTTGTTTATCCAAATAAATATTTGTCAAGGTTTTGTTGGTTATGCAAATGCATGGCATTACTAGAAGTTTATTCTTAAAATAATCTATTTGCATATGAAGGAGATGTTTGATTTTTCTTTAAAGAGAATATTTCAACAATATTGAAGACAATGCTGCTTGCATAGCTCAATTGAAAGAATGATATATTGAAGGGGACCAAATAAAGCATATTTCACCAAAGTTCTTTATTAGACACAATCTTCAACAGAATGGTGAAATAAATTTTCAACAAATTCGTTCAAGTGATTATTTGGCTGATCTTTTCAGTAAGGCATTGCCAACCTCAACGTTTGAGAATTTGAAATACAGATTGAAATGTATCGTCTTCAAAAAATAAAGTGATGTTTTCATCAGGGAGAGCCAAATATGCGTTGTACTCTTTTAACCTTAGCTAAAGTTTTTCGCTAGGTTTTTCTGGCAAGAATTTTTTTCCACGAGGTTTTTTCCTAGTAAGGTTTTAACGAGACACATTATCTTTAGACATCCGAAGGGGAATGTTATGAAATATTATATTATAATGAATGTCTATAGCTCCTAAAGGAGTAATATAATTACTTTTCTCCATTATCTCCATAACTCCCACTACTCCGCTACTTATAATTTTAACTCCCACACCTCCATAACCATTCCCATGATCTCCCCCTATAATCCCAATGGTTAATACCATATTTAAAGTAACCCAATTGTAAGCCTTATGAAACCCTATAAATAGAGGTATTGGAGATCCTATAGCATATACTTAGGACCCGTTTAGCCATAGATTTTGCCAAATAAATTTTGGTTTTACTTGGCAAACACATGTTTGGCTATAGATTTTGCCTACATTTTGGCAAAATCCCAAATTCCAAATCCCAAAACCAGCTCAATAGCTGGTTTTGGGTCAAAATATCACTATTATATTTTTTTAATAAATTGCCCCAAACTTTTATACTTTATAAAAGAGCCCACCATTTTGTTATTTTGTAACAATGTTGCTTCGTCTTCTCGGTTATCTGATAGTGTATCATGTAGTTTATTATATAAATGATAATTTTGTACCAAATTTATTTATGTTCAGGACTATGGTTTGCGATAATATAATGAATGTTATTTTTAATGGTACTGTTGGGTATTTGTGATAGTTTTTAAAACTTGTGGGTGTAAGTCATGTTTCGTGTTTTTCCAAAATAAATTTGGGAAATATGGTTTGAAAACTAACGTCCAAACACATTTTCATTTTCAAATCAAAATTCAGCCAAATCAAATTTTTCATAACAAATTTAAGAATCTATGGCCAAACGCTAATTTAAGAACACTTGAAAAATAAGAAATCTGTCTCTTCCTTTCTACTTTTTTTTTTGGGTCTATTTTCTTATTTTATATTGTCTAATTGGCCATCATTGCACCTGCAACTGACATGGACCTCCTTTCCCAAATTAAGCTTTAGGTTTGGTCACGTGAGGAGCACGTGAGAAAAAGGTATACATACAGAAACCAGTATAAATTCTCAGCGCCAAAACCCTAGCAAACTCTCTAAACCCCCAATCCCACATACAGAGAAACAGAGAGCAGATTTCCTCTCTTCAAATGGGAAAAGTGAAAGGAAAGCATCGTTTGGACAAGTACTACCATTTAGCTAGAGATCACGGTTACCGTTCAAGAGCAGCATGGAAATTAGTCCAACTCGATTCCAAATTTTCTTTTCTCCGTTCATCTTCCGCAGTTCTCGATCTTTGTGCAGCGCCAGGTGGTTGGATGCAAGTCGCTTTAAAGCATGTACCCGTTGGCAGTCTTGTTCTTGGCGTTGATTTGGTCCCAATTAAACCACTTCGTGGTGGTATATGTATTCAAGAGGATATTACGACCCCTAAATGTCGTGCGACTATTAAAAGAATAATGGCTGAAAATGGGCGTAGAGCTTTTGATTTGGTACTTCATGATGGGTCTCCTAATGTCGGTGGTGCTTGGGCTAAAGAAGCTACTAGTCAGAATTCTTTGGTTATTGATTCTGTTAAGCTTGCTACTGAATTGTTGGCTCCTAAAGGCACTTTTATTACTAAGGTATGAATCTTTTTGCTTGTTATGTATCCAAATGCTGGCTTGATGATGTTATTATGAATATTTTGCTTCATCTATGTTAAAAACTGCCCGAACCCGGGTGAGGAATAGCCTAATGGAACGGACCCTTTGGCTCCAACTATGAGCTTGGGGATTTTGCATATGTGGAAAAAAGCCCGAATCTTTGTTGATGAGTTTCTTAATTAGTTTTTGAATATCTGTTGTTGTTGTTGTTATGTAAATGGTTACTGGTCTTTTTTCACTTGTTATTTGTGTCGATATAACTCTTTTAGAGTAATACTAGAAAGCTCTTTTATTACTAAGGTTCTCCCAAAAAAAAAAGAATCTTTTTGCTTGTTATGTAAATGATGTTATTATGAATATTGATGAAGAATAGCCTAATGGAACGGACCATTTATCTCCAACTATGAGCTTGGGGATTTTACCATATCGGTTAAAAGCCCGAATCTTTGCTGATGAGTTTCTTAATTAGTTTATGAATATCTGTTGTTTTTATGAAAACTTGTTACCGTTCTTTTTCCATTGTTATTTGTGTCTATATAACTCTTTTGGAGTAATACTAGAAAGCTCTAGTAGTATATGACTTGTCATTTTTGAGATAGGATAATCCTTGATCTGTACTGTTGGAATTTTAACTATCTTTAGCCCAGCCAGTTTGGCTGGCACAAGTAGAAAAAACTTGGAAATTCATTTTGTCAATGTTGGTAATTAGTCTTTGATTTTGTCTCATGTGGTAAACCCTGCCTGGCGCTTTTGCTTTTACGGCCTTGGTAAATCCCTAAACTCATGGTTGGAGCGGAGGGTCCTCTAGATCACGCTTTCCTGCCCTTGTAAAGAGTACTGCAAATTATGTCTCTTGCAAGTGAATAATCTTTCCTTAGTTCGCCCCCCCCCCCCCCCCTTACATAATAAAATAAGTGGAAATGCATTTGTGTCAGTGCTTGTGCATTCCGAGGTATTTTTGAGCATCATCTCCTGTAGAAATGATGATCTTGCTAGGACTGTTCAAATTCCAATTTAATGCTCATGTCGCCTCTTTTATCCAAGAAACTTGGCAGATCTTGGTTTTATGCCCAAGGTAGCCATTCTGTAGATTCCCTGAGGTCTAATCGAGCTAGAGATATGCTCTATCATAACATCAGGAAGAATTCCATTATGGTTAGTGAGGGTTGTGGAGCCCCCAATCTTCCTAATTTTGTTGATCAATATCATATGTTCTTTCAGTGACCTTTTTCTTGATGTGTAATTTCTTCATTGTTTTTGTCAACGAACATGCTTTGATTGGTCGAGTGCAGCTCTGATGGACAACAATGTATTTGGCTGTATTCTGCGGGTTCTCTTACTTTTACTTTCTTCCATTGTTGATTATGTCTTGTGCCAGAGTTCTCTGCATCTTAGGTTAACACTACTCTTGGTATGTGCATGTGGCTTTTATTTTCTCCTTGAGGATATTTAAGTTAATGTAATATTTGGTATTTGCAAATCTCGAGCATGCACTTGTGATTTTATTCATCATTCTATCGATTCTGATGTAAGTAGAAAGTGACATGTCAGCATGTGCTGCCACCCAATTTGAATATTGAGATCTTGTGATGAAACTGCTTCTTTTCATGCTCATACAAGCGGAGTTGTCAAGTAGACTGATAAGATCTCCTCTTTTAGATTTTCAGATCTCAAGATTATAATGCAGTTCTTTACTGTCTAAGACAGGTAATTTTCCACTTCTATACCCAGTTTCTTTTTCAAGTAGACAAAGATCAAATGGTCCCTCACTTTTGAATTTTATCGACAGCTTTTTGAGAAGGTTGAGGTGGATAAACCTCTGGCAAGTCGTTCAGCATCTGCAGAAATTTATATTATTGGTTTAAAATATAAAGCTCCTGCGAAGATTGATCCACGACTTCTTGATGTAAAGCACCTCTTTCAAGGAGGTCAAGAACCCCCCAAGGTACAGGAAAAGCTTTTGATTATGGTTCTCTGTCATGCTCTCTCCCCCCTTCATCCCCTTTTTCTCTCACTTGCATGCTAGGTGCACACACTCTCCTTTCCCATTTCATATAGACGCTCCTATAATCCAATTGATCTTCTTGTGTGTGCCTGATCAGGTGATTGACGTACTCAGGGGGTCGAAGCAGAAGAGACATCGTGATGGGTATATCCTATTTTGCAGTGTATTTATGCATTTGAATTGTTGTGTCTAGTCCATGAGAAAGAACAGGAGACATTCCATTGACTATAATCAAACTACAAAACTTGGTATTTGTGCATAGGTTTTTGGGACATTGAACTTCGTAAAATGAACCAATCTGCTTTAAATTTTTCAGAATCTGGCCTTCTAGAAATGATGAAGTGAAACGGATGACCTGTTCGTCTTTTTTGATAAACAAACAATTCACTAGATGACCAGATGTAGTATCCTAGGGGAATGCTTGACCTGCTTCTTGTACAAGCTTGTATTATGAGAAGAAACTGAAACCGGGTTCGTTTCCAGCAACAAGTGTGCATTGATCACAGCTTTATGTGTCAAATTGTGATAATAGGTGCCACTCATTTGAACAGATGCAGTGACGTGTATTTTGTATACGCATATAGGTTAGAAACAGATTCTGCAAATAAGTTGCTTTTTCCTTTTTCTTTTCGGTTTCCTCACATAGGTATTTGAATTCTTTTGAGAATTTTGTGGAGCAAGTTTTAGCAAAGCGAAAAGCAAACATCTGACAATAGGCCGTGATTCCAGGCAGGCTTTTTGGTTCTGGGAGTCCTCAGCATCTCAGTAGTGCTGCTGCCTTTGGATTCCCCAAAACCTTCAATTTATGAACAGACTGCTTCTTCATTCTTCCTAATGCGTGACCTACTTCACTTCCTTAATCTGTCTCCCAGGACAGTGGATTATGACTGATTCTATGTTTCTCGATGTGATGCTGAAGATTTCACTCCCTGCCTCTTTCTTTGCATATAGTAAGGGGTTGTTTGGTATGATGGATAAGCGAACATAATCCTGGGATAAAAATTTAGTATCGCCTTCTCCCTTGTTTGGTTACTAATCCTGGGATAAGTTATCGCAGGATTAAAAAATAGTACCGGGATAACTTATACCTGCCAGGGGTGGTAGTAATCCCAGGATAAAGCAGTAAAATCGACAATCCCCAGATTTATACGACATACCAAACGGTCAATAAGAAATAATACTAGGATAACTAATCCCAGCATAACTTGTCTTCAAATTCATAGGTTGCTTGGTTTGCCCAACTAAAAATTTCCACCCTCAACTTCTACTAATCTGTTTGGAACCTATAATTGTTGGGGCACATGTGAAACTGTCTGTGCCTTATCTTTTTATTATGCACTTTATTAGTAGATGGTGTTGTTCCAATGCTGCTCACTTTGAAATTTGAATTTCTAATGATTGATGTTATCTTTGATTCAGTTTAGTGGGTTTGTCATTCTTAGAGCTAAAGCCGTTTGAGTTTAGCCTAATACCTCTATATGACATGTATAAAATGAACCTTGCAGGTATGAAGATGGAGCCACAATTTTAAGGAAGGTTTGCTCAGTTGCAGATTTTGTTTGGTCTGATAACCCTGTTCATATCCTTGGTTCATTTACTTCAATGAGCTTTGATGATCCCGCTTGTTTGCCCATTAGAGATCATGCTCTTACAACAGAGGAGGTATATTTCTTGTGACTTATTGTAGCCTGTTGCTAGATGGCATAGTTGTTTGCTATCATCAGCCTTACCCTTGGATGTTTGTGCCAGGTTAAAGCTCTATGTGATGATTTGTGTCTTCTTGCAAAGCAAGACTTCAAGCATCTCTTAAAGTATGAAACAGAAACCTTCTGAGAACCTATTTGTTTACTCAAAGTTCTTGAGTAAATTTAATTACATTATCCTTTGTTCTTATTCTTGTGCCTTATACTTTTCTTATAATCTATTGAATCCAAACCTTGCTTTGCTAAGGTGGCGTATGCAGATAAGAAAAGCTTTATCTCCTGAAAAGATTAAGACCCCAACAGCTGTTGTTGAAAGTGAGAACAAAGAAGACGAAGACGAAGACGAAGATGAACGGGTTCTTAATGAAATAGAGGAGAGAACCAATATCGTGGAGAGAAGGCAGAAAAAAGAGAAGAAACTTCAAGCAAAAAGACGAGCCAAGGTTTATGCATATGCTCCACCAAGTCTCTTTCAATTTCTATTTTGGTTTGCCCCATAAGACAGCATGTGGGAGTGATTATCCTGTTGAGCTTTGAAGAATTAATAGAGCGAACAAGTAACCCGAATCGTGAAATTCCGTGCTTTTCCCTTATGAAAGCAAGTGGCTTCCATGCCTTTCCTTTGTTTGAAAAAACTTATGGTGGCTCCTCTCCATCTTCTGAATGCACACTTAAGCTGATTCTCTTCAGGGTATTTTAGCTATTAGTCGAACTAGAGCCAGGGAAAAGTTGCAGTTCAGAGCAGGTTTAATACTTATTTGATTGCCTGTCTATTCATTACTAGAATTTACACCTAGGCACTCAGGAAAAAGAGATCTTGGTACCAATTGTTATTTGGTTGAAAGTCTTGATAATTACTAGGCGTATCTTGTACTTTTTTTGATAACCAAGAAATCCCCGAGACTAGCGGTGTACGGTTTGAAACTCGAACCCATGACATCCACCTAATCCATACATCGCTTGTTGTGCTCTTATCACTAGACCAAAGCCCTGGGACAGTTTCTTGAATTGATATGTACCCTATACCAGCTTCTGTTTCTTATCTAAGTCACATGGGAGCTATTTTGCTGATATTTATTTTCCTTTAATTCTTCTGATGGCAGGAGAAAGCACGCAAGGCACTTGGGATTCAAGTAGATGCAACAGAGGATGGTTATGGTGATCAGGATTTGTTTTCTCTATCTTCCATCAAGGTATGTTCACATTTCATTTTCCTTGTTCTGTCGTTTGTACTAGTGTAGTGGATGCAGCATCTACAGAGAAAATGGTTTTCCTGAAAGTTGATCCGGTTGAAGGTGGGTTTTCTTTTTTGGGTGCATCAAGTGGGATGCTATTTGAAAGCAGATAATTTGAGGAGGAGATATATAAAAGACAAGAGTAGGATGTAGACCACATTTATGGACTTGTGGACATTAATATATTTTTTTGCTTAATGTTCAGTGGGTTCTTCCTAAAACACTGATAGAAATGATGAAAAGTTGATAGACACAGTTTGGAGGCTATGCAAAAGTGGTTAAGGATGCTCCATTTTTGTGTTTTTGGTTGAAATGGAGATGAAATAGATGAAATTTTGAAGGGATTGAGTGCTCAGTGATGCGAGTTGAGAGTTAATTTTAATCGCCACCCATTTAATTCATTTTTACTGCTATTTTGGAGTCTGCTACAAATTTGTTAATAATATGATTCACGTACATTCGAAAAAACATCTCAGGGAAAGAAAGATCTCGTAGCTGTTGATAACAGTGAAAATGACAAAGGAACTACAGAGGTAAGCGACGAAAATGACGGAAGTGATGAGGAAGCCGAGGAGCATTTCTCCAGTGATCTGGACTCTGAAGACGAACGCAGAAGGTATTATGGCCAGCTTTCTGGACATCTGCTTCTAATATTGATTGTTTCTTGTACACTTCTGAAGCTGCATGTTATTTTCTTCATTTTCAGACATGATGAAAATATAGAGGCATTGTTTGACGAGGCTTACGAACGGTATTTGGGTAGAGTGGAAGGAAAATCAAAGCAGAGAAAGCGAACCAAACAAGCGTATTTGAAGGATGGTCCACTCCTGCAGGTTGTACTTAGGTTTAAGTTGCACTATAAAATTCATATCTGCATATCCGCCTTTGTTCTTTTCCTCTTTCTTTTTGTTATGGGGCTGAGTTTCTCTTTTTCCTTCAATAAGTACCTGCTTAGAAATTCGATTGATGTCATACTTTTAGTACTTGTATGATGAAGCTCTGGATCTCGGACTTAGTGGGAGCTAGCTTGTACATGCGTTTCCCGAGTTTGGTGTAGACCTGTTTTCTGGATCAAACTTTATTTGTAAAAGACGCCAAATCTGGATTTTGTGTGCCCCAGGGAATACTAAACACAAGCTAAATTTCTCCTATATACTTGATAAATCATTAATTTTTACGATTCACATATATTTTTTATATATTACAGCAATTTATTAGTGGCACTTCAATTTCAAATATAAATCAACTGAGATTTGTAAATATGCTAAATTAGAATTTACGAAATCTTAGTTAAGATCCAGTTTTTACCAAAAGAAAAGTCATTTCCACGTTGATTAAACTAAATCTAGATTGACCTAAAAGTTACCAGTTTCAAAAAAAAAAAATATATCTAGATTGACCTAAAAGTAGATTACAAAGCAGGACTGAATCAATTTGGTCCTTATCCTAAACTTTCCAAATGGAGCCTTACTGGATCATCTAAAAAAATGTTTGGCTTTTTCACATGCCTTCTACTAGATTCTCCAAAGTTTTATCTTCTTTTCTTTCTTTCTTTGCATTAATGGTAGTGCTGCTCTTTCTTTTCCAGGATGGCAATGATGATAGCATGACTCATTCTGCTCCAGACTCTGACAGTGACAAGGAAGATAATGAAGTCAACCCTCTTGTCGTACCCCTCGAGGATGCACCACCGCCTCAGGAGGAGATTGTGAAAAAGTGGTTTACGCAAGATGTTTTTGATGAAGCGGAAGAGCAAGATATCCTGGACAAGTATGATAGTGAAGATGAGATGCAAATAGGAGGGGCGAAGCAAGCCCCAAAATCTAAGGAGCTGACAAATGATAAACAGCAGGGAGAAACTAAGGATCTCACAAGGAAAACAAATGGCAGTTTACAAGTCTCAGCATCCAAGACAGAAGAAGATTTTGAGATTGTTCCTACTCCTGCTACTGATTCAAGTGACTCGTCATCCGATGAATCAGATGACGATATTGACACAAAAGCTGAAATATTAGCTACAGCGAAGAGGATGCTGAGGAAAAGGCCTAGGGAAGATATGATTGATGATGGTTACAACAGATATATGTTTCATGATGAGGGGTTGCCGAAGTGGTTCCTTGATGAGGAAATGAGACATCGCCAGCCAGAGAAACCCGTGACAAAAGAGGAGATTGCTGCAATGAAAGCTCAATTTAAAGCAATTGATGCTCGGCCTGCAAAGAAGGTAGCAGAAGCCAAAGCTCGTAAGAAACGGGCAGCACATAGAAAGCTAGAGAAGGTTCGGAAGAAAGCTAACTCAATATCAGACCAAGCTGATATTAACGATCGTTCAAAGAGAAAAATGATTGAACAGCTATACAAAAAGGCGGTAACACCAAAAAAACCAGAAAGGGAATATGTGGTGGCAAAGAAGGGTGTTCAAGTTAAGGTTGGCAAGGGGAAAGTCCTTGTTGATCCGCGAATGAAAAAAGATGCTAGAAAGCATGGAATGAACAAGAAGAAGCAGCAGGGCAAGGGGAAGAAGGGTAAACAAACAGGAAAGGGCTCAGGGAAGGCTTCGGCGGCAGCAGGCAAGCAGGGAAACCGGGGAAAATGAAATGAAGTTGTATTTTGATGAAGGAGCTTTGCCAAAGATAAGTTAAGCTCATGAATTTTGCTTACATTCTCTTGTGCATCTGGTTGCAATAAGAGCCAACCCATGTTAAAGCTGTTTTCTGGTTTCTTATTGCTTTCTTTATTAGATCGTTTTTTTATTTATACACTTTTGAAGATACTTTATTGATTTCTTTGTTCTATCAACATAAGGGATTTACTTGTCTTGATGATTAATGTGAATGGCTAATACTTAAGTTAAATAATATTGACTTAAAATCAAAAAGGGTGCATGTAATAGTTGGGAGAAAGAATATTAGTAATCCACAATGTTTTAATGGTTTCGGTTATTTGGTTATTAGTAGTGAACATATCAATTTTCATGAGGTGGCGTTTGCAGTGTGCTTGGCATGACAGGAAAAAGTATTCTTGATAAGGTTATTATACAAAGCTGTGTTGTTCAGAATTATTGCTAAATTAAGGGTGTGTTTGGTACGAAGCAAAATATATTTTGAAAGATATTTTCTAAATTATCGATGTTTGATTGGCTTAAATATTTTGGAAAATATTTTTCTCAATCATTTTTTTCTAACTTCCTACCAAAAGGAGAAAATGTTTTCTAAAATTTTTTTTTAACCTTTCCTACCCTATTCTCCACCCCCTACCTCCCTTGCTACCCCTACTCCCCACCCCACCCCCTCCCCTCGCCACCCCCTGCCACCCCCACCCCTGCCCCTCAACCACCTTCTGCCCTTGCTAGACGCACTGCTACCCTCGCCACTCGCATCCCGGCCCTTAGATCCTGACTGCCACCTTCCCTACCTTTACACATTTTGTCTTCATAGTGTTTGCCTAAATTATATATTTTTCAGAAAAATATTCTCCTGCTACTTAACCAAACACCAAAAAAATAAGTGAGAAAATTACTTATTTTCAAGAAAATATATTTTCCTTCGTACCAAAAATACCATAAGAAAACAATGTAGCTGGATGGATAAATGTGACATGGGAGTTCAACAACAATTTTTGCTCTTTTTCGCTGATGAAATTGGTTAACACCACTTTCCATGTTTTACCCAAACATTGAGCAATGACTTTAAAGTCAACTTCAATTTAAAGATATTTTCAGAAAATGCATTTTATATTTTTGAAGGCCTAAGAGTTCATTGGTACTAGAATTGGTATATTAACTTGGTGCATGGAATAAGAGTGGAGGTTTAGGTTTATTGTACATCAGTTTTTCAGTCTGTAACTACATTTAAAAGGGAGGAAGAGCCATATGTTTACCTTATACAATAATTGAAACTAAATTATCAATATTTCACCTGAGAAAGTAGTTTAACAAAACAACTACTCTGATAAGTAAAGAAAAAAATTAAGGGAGTCTTCAAGGTCTCGTAAGATGCATTTTCCAATTGGAATTCAAAATTGATTATCATTTGAGGCTCTATTTTGTGAAAAATTAGTACATAGCCGGGAGCAATACTTGAAATGGCAATCCTGGAAAAAACATCAACTTTTAGGTCACGCTTAGAGTTTAGTCATACTTTAAATTGTAGTGGCAAAATAGTCACTCATTAATGCGGAAATACAAGTCTGGAAAAAAATATTATTATCTAGAACACAGAAGAACTCCATGAAACGACTGTTTACCCTCAAAATCGGATAATAATTGAATTTGTACGGGATTTTAAGAATACGTGATATAACTTGATACAAATTAAGAAAATAGATGAATATTAATATTAATGATAAGGAAATAAACACAAACCACACAAATTGGACAGCCTTAGCCTTGGAGTTTGATCACCCTCGAGCCAAGAAATGCCTCCACCGATGTCGAAACAAAATAAAAAGATGATAAGAACTAAAAATAACAGTGTATTGCTCTTTGGTGTATTACAATATGTGTTACAAATGATCAGACCCCCTTTATATAGTAGTGAAGTCCTACTTTAGATACAATTCTACAAAAGGCAAGAAATCTCATGATTTGCTAATTAATCAGCATCTCCTTGATACGTGTCAAGATTTCCGCTGTGATCTCCAACCGATCGCGAAAATTTCGGCCTTCGGTTATTTGGCTCGACAAGGCTCCCTCGATCTTGTTCGGTCCCGGACTCACGAGCTCAACGATTTAACTTCGCGCCTTGGTTCGACATAACTCGGGGTCGAGCTTTGACCTGCCACATTTCAGTCTCGACCGGTCATACAACAGACGAACCTGGTTTCGACCATATACAGGTAGTCCCCTTATTTTTTGGAGAGAAAACGACGAGAAACGATATGAACTTCCGAGCCTTGCTTCGATAAATCATGACGTAAGTGACAAAGGTAACTGAAACGTCCCGTCGGTCTAGTCTCCAAGGTATTAAATGTGTGTCAATTATTTGTCGGCCACTACGGGTTTTGAACCGCCGTTGGCAAACTATAAATACTTCATCCTTCCGTCCACTAGAACTTTTACATTCAAACGTTTGTTCTTGTTTTTTTAAGAAAAATCTTATCTCTTTCTTCCTCTGGTTTTTTGGTTCAAGGTTTAAAACTTCTTCCTTTATAGTTTTCTGAAAATTTTCATAAACTATCCGCCAATAACGCCCTCTCTTTCATCCGTACTATCTCTTCACCCTTACTCAGAAGCAATGGCAAAGACTTCTAAATCTGTTCCTCAAAAGGAAACTCCCTCTTCCTCGAGACCGTCTGAAGAAGAAAAGGCTCCGTCTACTGTTGTCGAGGAAAAGACATCGGAGTCCTCCTCAAATTCGTTCGTTCCTACGGGGTGCCCAACTGGGGCCGATTTCAAGATCGAGAAAACCCCTTCTATACCGGGTCGATGAGAGATGGTCTCGAGATATATATATGCTCCATCACTGATGATCTCCTCCCTAAAGTCAAGGAAGATTGTAATTGGACCGGAAAACACGTGGTGGTGTATACGCCCGAGGAATCAATTACTACCCACGTGGAGGGTTTTCTAAGTGTTTACACTTATCCCTTCACGTTGGGCCCTCTAGACCCAGTTATTATAGCCTTTTGCAAAAGGTATGAAGTGATGCTCGGGCAGATTCATCCTTCATTTTGGAGGATTGTTATTCTGCTTCGTTTCTTTGTGAGCAAGCTCGAAAAATGCCCCTTCACCATCGACCATCTCATGCGTCTGTACAATCCCCGACTTTACCGAGGGGGATTGATAAAGCTTGCCCGTCGGGCTACTAAGGCCCCACTCTCGAGCATAGATGAAGACCGTGACCGAGAATGGTTGGGCCGGTTCGTTCGAGTGAAAACCTCGGATCTAATCCCGGCCGAGGATATGCCATTTCCCAAGAAGTGGAATATGAAATGTAAGTATAACTTCACTTTTAAGATTTTGCTTATTGCTTTTCGCTTTCCTCTCCCCTAATCGATGTTTCGTGGTGCAGCTGTCGCTCGGATGACGGACGTAGTTCCTCGACTCAAGGAGTGGGTCGAGGGTATCGTATCACAGATGCCCTACTCTAAGCGCGCATGGCACCAAATTTCAAAGGGCCGGTGGGAGGCCCATTCTCACGGTAAGATTCTTTCCTAAAGCTAACATCACTTGGGTTTCTTTCCAAGCTTACTCATCTCTTTTCTTTTGTAGGTCTTAGGAAAGATGTTGCGATGAGTCCCCTATCCAGTGATGAAGATGTCCTCCCCCAACCACCTGCTCCGAAGCAGGACAAAGAGAAGAAAAGGAAGGGGTTCCGAGTTCCCCGAACTCGGAGAAGCAGAAACCAAAAAAGAGGCAGGCGCACAAACCTAAGGAAAGTACCAGCGCCCTCCCATTGGACTCAATTCTCTGGCTGAGGGATGAGTCCGAAGAAGAAGAAGAACATTCCGAGCTAGTTCCTCGGGTGCAAAACCCATACTACATTACCTCAAGCCGAGAAGGCTGCCGAGAGGATATTGGCCGGGATCTTTGAACCGAAAAGGGGTAAGGTTGCTTTGCCCCAAGCTAGGGGGGTCGAGAGGGAGACCGAGGCTGATACTTCTCGAGCAGAGGAAGTTCCCCCAATAGATGTGCTTGGGGCGATTGACCTTATCGGGTCTCCTCTGTTCTACGATTCCATGATCAATGAGGCCGGTATGCTAGAAGGTCGTTCTCACGAGGGGCCTCAGGGGGCGGCAGACCTCAACAACTTCTTAGATGGGTTAGAATCTACCACCTCGGAGGACGTCACCAGGTTTGGTGAATTACCTATGCCAAAGAAGGTACCATCATTGGGAGCCATTGGGTCTTCTTCGAGCCCAAAGTTAGTAGATCGGTTCCCGGCCCTGAGTGTTGATCCTGACCGAAAGCGGTCAATAGTTTTCTCTATACAGGAGGATGCTCGGGTTTTCTCTTCCCCCGTGGGGGTTGCTAGCTATCTTCGGTGCTTGGTGACCGAAGAGGACCAGGCCAAGATAGATGAGGTAGAAGCGCCCTACCTATTCAATGATGCTCAACATGCGTTGAATCGGGTAACTTCGAGTGTCTCTTTATTACTCCCTCCATTTCATATTAGATGAGGTAGTTTGACTGGGCACGGAGTTTAAGAAAAAAGAAGACTTTTGAAACTTGTGGTCTTAAAGCTTAAGGGGTAAAAAGTTTGTGGGGCCATGACATTTGTGTGGCTATAAAAGCTTCTCATCAAGGGTAAATGGATAAAATGAAAGAGTTTAAAGTTGAATTATTTCCAAATTTAGAAATGTGTCATTTATTTTGGAACAGACTAAAAAGGAAAGTACCTCATCTAATATGAAACAGAGGGAGTATGTATTTTGAATTCGAAGTTGCAAATAATCGTAACACCTTTGTTTATGCTTGCAGGACTCGGTACTTCACCATGAAACTTTCCTCCAAAATCGGGAGGAGTTCACCCAACACAAGGCCGAGGTTCGGGAGCTTACTGAGAAGAGGGACACATATAAAATTCTCAGTGAGAAACTTCAGGTTGAGTTAGAAGAGGCTCAGAAGGAACATGCCGAGTGGGTCGAGCAGATAAATCGAGTACTTGAAGATAGTGATGACAATTTGGACACAGTGGCTAACGACCCAAACCTGCAGGTCCAAAAGAGTCTTGAACAGATCGGGCAGCTCCAGGTGTACGTGGACACGATAAAAGCTGAGGCCGAGGAGTGGAAGAAAAATATGGACCTCTTAGACTTGGAAAAGGAGGCTGTCCAAGCACAACTGGCATTGGCCGAGGCCCAGCTCCGAGGTGCAGAGGAAAAGACTT